TGTGGGATGTTCGTCCTTTAACGAATATACAACAAACAAAATAGCTGATTATTGTAGAGGACAAATTTCGGTATGATTGTTCTTCACGAATTCTTTCTCACACTATAGTCTGGTGGTATAATAATTACACGTGGTAGTAAGTTGAAAAGCAGCACGAAATACTCTACACTAAACTTCCTTTTATTATCTTCAAGATTAATCTCTCCGGTCCAAACATGTAGAGATGAGCCGCTTTCCTTTGCCGGTTTGATCATGTTTCTCTAATTGGGTGTCTTCTAATTTTTTAAAAATCAAACAAAAATAACATAAATTGGGGTGGTGGGGCAGGGTTGTTGCAAGTCTAAGCCAAAACAATGATAATAACAATGTTCTTTGTAAGATGAAAAAAGAAAAGAAAAGAACGAAGTAAACATCCATCTCTATAGCATTCTCAAAGTTAAATACAAACTGATAGGGGCTCAACAATACCAGACTTTTGAACAACTTAAACCAGTAGTAATATTGAGACATGTGACTTGGAGTAAACCTTCGACATGAAGGTTCAAAGTTAACACAGATGGAAACTTTCTTAGGAACAACTCAAGACCAGACATTGGAGGGGTAATCAGGAATGAGGCAGGTGATTTAATAATGGCCTTCTTAATTCCAATCCAATGCAACAACAATGACTAAGTTGAGGCACAGACAACCAAATATGGGGTGGACTAGTGCTTCCAAAATGGAACCAATACTTTCGATTTGGAATCAGACTATGATTGTTGAATAATTAAGACATTAACAACCTCTAACTCAAGAAAATAATTAGAGACATCATCTCAACAAACAATAGGACAGAGGTACACTTCAAACACTACTTTAGAGATGCCAATCAAGTGGCAAATTTTTTAGTTAAACTAGCCTCGTCTAGTGAAAATGATACCTTCCATTACTCATTTAAACAACTTCTGAAAGAGACGAAGGGAACTTTCAACTAGACAACTGCAAGGATTTGATTTTTCTAAGTGAGATTGCCGAAAAAAAGATTGTCGAAGAGAAAAAATGCAGGTTGAAGAATAGATAATGAGAGCAGAGAGGGTCTGATTAAAATGTAAAAATTGGGTTCTTCTTCTTTCTTGTTAAGTGTTTGCATTAAAAATAAATACCCAAATTTACCCCTCCGTAATTTAACAGTCCGTTATTCTTTTGGACTAAAATTAAAGGTCAAATGTGCTTAACCTGACTAAAATTGGAATAATGCAATAATACATGAACTAAAAATGTTTATTAGTCCTATTATTGCCAAAAAGGGTTGGGGATGGGTTTGGGGAGGATCTTTGTTTTTTATTTTAATTATCGGATGACAGAACTCATAGGTCCGACTAATTGAGGTTCGTGTCAGTCATAGCACCCATGTGCTCCTTTACTCCATTCTTAAGTTTGAATTCGAAAAGTTTGGTTAAGGATAAAAGGAGTATATTTATCCCTCCACCTCTTTCCCCCTTCTTTGGTGGTGTGAGGAACCTCTTAGTTTAGAGTAAAATGAGATATCAATATGCAGTGAAGAATTTAAATAATGCTAAGTAGAGAAAACCTTCCAATATAGTATATACTATAAAATGTGTTATGAAGCAATGACGGAGCCATGTTTAATCGAGGGGTGACACCCCTTCGTCAAGAAATTATACTGTGTTACTAGATAAATTTTTTATTCTATGCATATATATTATATGTTGAATTCCATTGGCTGTTTTATATGTTTAATTTTTATATTTTGATACCCCTTAGTAAAATTCTAGCTCCACCGCTGCTATAAGGCTAGCCTCGACGGACATGTATCTCCTTTTTATGTCTGCAGCTAAATGTACCACTTCCACAAAAATAGCATTTCCTCTATCCCAATTTATGTTGTATTTTTTGTTATTCAAGAGTCAAATTATGTGAATTTGAACTAATATGTTAAAATATAATATTTTATCGTATTCATACGGAAAGAATTGTAACTTATAGTACTTTTTATGTAGATTTTGTATATTTTAATTTTAATTTTAAAATAGTAAGTTATTTAAACCAATTTAGCTTTAACAATTTGTCAAATTACCTCTCGAAAAACAAAAAGTATCACATAAATTGAGATTCAAAGAATAATACTTTTTATTATTACTATATGACTGTTTGATTTTTGAAACTGAAATGCATAACTACTCGTTTTTGCTCTTGATAATTATTGTTACCAAGAGAAGGGTTGGGCAGCCCACCAAGGGCTATTCATTTTTCTGCCCCGTTATTGATAATGGTTTATTTTTTAATTATAGAATTTAAAAAGTGGTGAATTGTTCATTTAAATAGTGAAATTGTTCGTGCTTCGAATGGTGCATTAGTAAAATTAGAATTGATCTTTTCATGCATTAAATCGAGATAGAAGAGATACTTTTATTCTATTGCATATACACAAAAAAGCAAAAGAGTTAATTATTTAGTTCGGATTTTTCTCGTAAAAGAAAAGATAGGATTCCTGATTATTCAGGCCTTAATCGAATCATATGTGCTGGTCAGTATAATCTCATATATTCGCCTATTTTCCACGAGGATTCTGATTTATTGTCAAAAAGGCGAAGAAATAAATTAATCATTCCACTACACTCGATTCAAGAACTCGAGAATCACAATAAGTTGACACGCGATAGAAATTGATCAGAAGGAAAGATCACGGTCTTTTTGGATAGATTGTGTCCTACCAACAACCAATTATTAAATATCCTTTTTATATTCTCATTAACTTTCAGAAGCAGACCATGATTGAATCAAACAAGCCCCGTTAGTTGGACTCAATCAGCTAGAGAAGTCGGGCGAAATAATGACCTAGGTGTTACACGCAGGAATTCGAATTGAACTTGAGGATCGCAGCACTGCCTTAGGAATTGCTCGAAAAAGTAGTAGAGATAAGGAATTTGCAGAAGAAAGAAGAAAAGAGAAGAAGAAGAAGAAGAAGAAGAAGAAGAAGAAGAAGAAGAAGAAGAAGGAGAAGAGAGAAATTAGGATAGAATTGTATGTATTGATTGATGAAATGAAAAATGTAGCTTACAACACTATTTGTACTAATTACATTGTATAAAAAATGATAAAGCTACAACAGATTCTATTCTATCTGAATTCTGTTATTCTAACTACCTCAACTAACTTTAACTAACTCTCCCTCCCTGTAACTAACTTTTGACTTGCACAACTTCTTCTTCTATACTTGAGCTGCTAGAGGTAATCTTCTATAATTTTGTATCAGTACTCTCCCTAATCGAAGATCCTTGTCCACAAGGATCAAAAGAAGGGAACCTAGTTTGTAGGATTGTAACAAACTCCCATGTAGTAGCATCAGCAGGAAGTCCTTGCCACTTAGACTTATGCAACAACCTTATTTCCTTTCTTGATCATTCTTCTTTGCAAGATTAGTTCAGGATCATGGCAATAAGGATTGGCCAAATCAATTACTGAAGGATAAGAAATCTGAGATGGAACTTCATAGCATCGTTTCAACAATGAAACATGCATTGTGGGGGTGAATCTTAACTCCAGCAGGAAGTAATAGAGTGTAGGCAACTGGACCCACTTCTTTTGAGAATCTGAAAAGATCAATAGTATTTAGAAGCCAACTTGTGTGATGAGTGGTTGGATCTTCAGATAGACCCAATCACCTATATCAAATTGCCTATCACTTCTGTGTGAATCTGCTTATTGCTTCATTCTATGTTGAGCTCTTCTCAAATGGTGTTTAAGCAACTGCAATTTCAGCTCCCTATGGATCAAATTGTTATCAACTTCAGCTGAAGCTGACTCCCCTGACAAGTAGGGTAGATGTAAGGAAGGTGGTCGGCCATATAGTGCTTCATAAGGAGTGATCTATATGGCTCAGTGAAATGAGGTGTTATACCAGTACTCAGCCATGGGCAAGCAAGAGTACCAGTTAGCAATATCTTCATTGTAGTAGCACCTTAAGTAGGTCTCAAGACTTCTGTTCAACACCTCAGTCTGTCCATCAGATTGGGGATGGCATCCAGAAGATGTGTTCAATTGAACTCCTTACAGTGAGAACAGTTATTTCCAAAAGGTACTGATAAAGATATCATCTCGATCACTAGTAATGGTATTAGGTAGGCCATGTAATCTTACCACAATGTCTAAGAATACTTTAGCAACTGATTGAGCAGTATAAGGATGCTTTAGTGGAATAAAATGACCATACTTGCTACGCTTGTCCACTACTACTATATCACCTCATAACTATTAGATTTAGGGAGACCATCAATGAAACCCATACTGATTTGAGACCATACTACATCTGGAATAGGTAATGGTTGTAACAAGCCAGGATAATCAATTAAGTCAGATTTATTCTTTGGCACACATAACATTTCTGAACCAAATCTCTTACCTCTTTCCTCATGTTCTTCCAATAGAACAGTATCAGTAGTCTCCTTAGAGTAGCTTCAACACCTGAGTGTCCACCTTGAGGGGTTGCATGCCACAGAGTTATAATTGTCTTTCTCAATTCTTGCACCTTGCTTATCACCAATTTGCCCCTTCTCCTTAGCTGACCTTGAAACCATGTGAACTGCTTGTGAGTATGTGTTTCAGCTTGGAGTTCTTCAATGAGGTACTTCAGCTCTTGATTTGAGTTCCAACTATCAATTATAGTTTGAAAAACATCAGTATCACTAGGTGAAACCACCATTGCCAATATGTCAGCTCTAGTCACTCTAGAAAGTGCACCAACTACTTTGTTCTTCACCCCCTTCTTGTACTCTATTGAATAATCAAATGGCATTAGTTTGGTTAGCCATAGAAGCTGGGAGTTAGTGTGCAGAGTCTGATCCATAAGATACTTCAAGGCCATTGGTCAGTTTTGATGATGAATTTCTATCCCAACAACTACTGTGACCATTTTGTTACTACATTTACAATAGCCAATAACTCTCTATCATAGATAGATAGAGTTTCATGTCTAGGGGATAAGCCCTTTCTAATAAAAGCTATTGGATGCCCTTCATGCATGAGTCCTTCTCCAATGCCATAGCCACTGCATTAGTTTCCATAATGAAGGTTTTGCTAGTATCTGGTAGAGCTAGAATAGGAGCTTGGGTGAGTGCTTTTTTCAAAGCTACAAATGTTGCATCTGCTGAAGTTGACAATTTGAAAACATCATTCTTAGTGAGATCAGTTAGAGGTTTGCAAATCACTCCAAAACCTTTAATAAATCTTCTGTAATAACCAGTTAGGCCCAGAAATCCTCTAAGCTATTTGAGAGTTATTGGTGTAGGCAAGTTCTGTACAGCTTCTATCTTTTGAGGATCAGTAGATACCCCATTAGTTGTGATTAAATATCCTAAGTACTCAATCCTTTGAACCCCAGAGAAACATTTGCTCTTTTTAGCAAAGAACTGATGTTTACTCATCTCCACAAAAACAGACCTCAAATGAATTAAGTGATCCTCTATAGTGCTACTGTAAATGAAGATATCATCAAAGAAGACCAACACATATTTTATGAGAAACTTCTGGAAAATAAAGTTCATCAATCCTTGAAATATTGCAGGAGCATTGGACAGACCAAATGGCATTACCAGATATTCAAAATGTCCAGAATGAGTTCTGAATGCAATTTTAGGCACATCTTCCTTGGCCATTCTGAGTTGATGATAACCAGAACTCAGGTCTATTTTAGAGAAGATCTTAGAACCTCCTAGTTCATCTAGCAAATCTTCTACAATGGGGGGAATAGTAAACTTGTTTTTCAAAGTGTATTTATTCAAGTTCCTATAGCTGACACAAAGCCTCCATGAGCCATCCTTCTTACCTACTAAAACCATTGGTGAAGCAAAAGGACTGCAGCTGGGCTGAATGATTCCTTGGTCTAGCATTTGCTGTACAAGACCTTCAATAATATCCTTCTTAACTGAAGGATACCTATAAGGCCTTTTATTCATATGCTCAGTTCCATTTTACTGAATAATTTTGTGATAATAAATACCCTTAGAGCTTCAAATAATCTAGAGTACTCAACTAGTAATTGTACTAGTCGGGCATTTGTCTTAGGCTCTTCCTCAACTTTAATGGCATGCCATTGCTCTCCTGCACTCCCCAAAGGTACCACATGTATCATGCATAGTTGAGACAGATCCCCTGCATGTTTGACTAATTTATCAGCTCCTTGAACTTTTACTTGACTACCAGCACCCCTGAGAAAGTGTTTCCTTCCTTTGTACCAAAACTCCATAGTCAACCTCATAAAATTCTTCTTAATGTCCCCAAGTGTTAGTAGCCATTGTACTTCTAGCACCACCCTACAAGAGCCTAAAGGTAGCAGTAAAAACTCTGTTGAGAATTCAGTACCCTGCAGCAACCATGTAATTGTGCATACCTTATCTACCATCATGTTTTCATTAGTAGCAGCTACTAATTGGGGATTTGTAGACTTGACTGTACACCCTAAATGCTTGACCAATTCAGGGTCTATAAAATTATGAGAACTCAAGTATCAATTAGTATACTTAAAGCCTTTTTTGCATGATAACCAATAACCTTTAAGATCATGTATGCTAGTGAACCATTCAAAGCATGGATAGAAATTTCCATCTGTTCCATACATTGAGATGGTTCCAGCTAGTCAATACCTCCATCTTGTATTACTAACTCATGTTCTTCATCTGTATGAGACACTTCCTCTAACTCCTCCAGTTCTAATAGATACAACTATTTTGAACTATTACACACCTGGTGTATATTTCTCATTATAGAAATAACACAATCCTTTTGCTCTTTTCTCATTCATCTTATCTATGCTTAGTGTCCTTTTAGTAAACCCTCTAGTATAAGAAGAATTACTAGAATTAGGAGTTGGTAATAAGGGCTTACTACTGTTGCCTTGTCCTGCATATCTCTTAGTTGAAAAGTTGGTTGTGTGGTTGTTTAGTTGCAGCCAAGTATCCTTCTTACACTCTTGTAGTTCTATACACTTGAGATAGAGTTGTTGGATTGGTCAACTTGACATCAATGTTCAACTCATGCTTCAGACAACCAATAAAGTAGCTGATTGCATTACCTTGATATCGTCTCACCCTATTCAGATTCCTTTCAAAGATGGCTTGGTATTCCTTTACACTTACAGTCTGTTTAATCTTTTTGATTTCTTTCATTAAATCATCGAAATCAACTCCAAACCTCTCAACTAATGCTATCACATACTCATTCCAAGTAGCTGGTTGGAGGTATTGTTTATACCTCATAAATGACAGATGCCATTGAATAGCTTCACCTTCCAAGTGCATAGTAGCTACTTCCACCTTTTCCTCAGCATCAACCTTCTCTATGGCAAAGAACTACTCGATTTTGAACAACCACGATCTAAGATCTTCTCTTGTGAATCTCAAAAACTCCATCCTTGACCACCTAAAGAAATTAGAATGGTATTGATGGTAGCTGCCAGGGCTTTTATCTCGCTGAGATCTCACTTGAAATGGTTCACATTTATTTTGCAATGGCGATTTGTCCTTATGAAGATTTCTAGAATTGGATAGTTGTTCCTTCAGTTCGTGGACTGTTTGATCCAGATATTTCAGATTGGAAACTTCCCCAGACAAAGCTCCCACATCTACTATTAATTTCTGCATCAACTCACGTAAGTCCACAGATTCTTTAGTTGAGTTTTCATTCGATCGAGTACACTTCTTCATGATTCCAAGGATCGTAGGCTCAGATACCAATGTTACACGATTGTAAAAATTTGAATTGAACTCAGGGATCGCAACACTGCCTCAGGAATTGCTCGAGAAAGCAGTAAAAATAAGGAATTTGCAGAAGAAAAAAGACGAGAGAAGAAGAAGAAGAGAAGAGAGAAATTAGGATAGAAATGTATGTATTGATTGATGAAATAAAAAAATGTAGTTTACAACACTATTTGTACTGAGTACATTGTATCAAAAATGATAAAGCTGCAGGAGATTCTTTTCTAACTGAATTCTGTTATTCTAACTACCTCAACTAACTTTAATTAACTCTCCCTCCCTGTAACTAACTTTTGACTTGCACGACTTCTTCTTCTATACTTGAGCTGCTCGAGCTAATATTCTATAATTGTTTATCAGTACTCCCCCCCAATCAAAGATCCTTATCCACAAGTATCAAAAGAAAGGAACCTAGTTTGTAGGATTGTAACAAACTCCTATGTAACATCATCAGTAGGAAGTCCTTGCCACTTAACTAAGACTTGTGCAACAACTTTATTTTCTTTCTTCACCATTCTTCTTCGAAAGATTAGTTTAGGATCATGGAAATAAGGATTGGCCAAATCAATTACAGGAGGATAAGAAATCTGATATGGAACTTCATAGCATCTTTTCAATAATGAAACATGCACTATGGGGTGAATCTTAACTCCAGCAGGAAGTAATATAGTGTAGGCAACTTGACCCACTCTTGTCCTAGTGGTGAGCACCCTCCACTTTCAACCAAGAGGTTGTGAGTTCGAGTCACCCCAAGAGCAAGGTAGAGATTTCTTGGAGGTAAGGAGCTGAGGGTCTATCGGAAACAGCCTCTCTACCCCAGGGTAGGGGTAAGGTCTGCGTATACACTACCCTCCCCATACCCCACTAGTGGGATTATATTGGGTTGTTGTTGTTATTGTTGTTGTTGTTGTTATTGTTGTTGTTGCAACTGGACCCACTCGTTTGAGAATCTGAAAAGGTCCATAGTATTTAGAAGCCAACTTGTGTGATGAGTGGTGGGATATGGTCACTTGTTTATGGAGTTGGATCTTTAGATAGACCCAATCACCAACATCAAATTGCCTATCACTTCTGTGTTAATCTGCTTGTTGCTTCATTCTATGTTGAGCTCTTCTCAGATAGTGTTTAAGCAACTGCAATTTCAGCTCCCTATTGATCAAAGTGTTATCAACTTCAACTGAAGCTGACTCCCCTGACAAGTAGGGTAGATGTAAGGAAGGTGGTCGGCCATATAGTGCTTCATAAGGAGTGGTCTATATGGCTCAGTGAAATGAGGTGTTATACTAGTACTTAGCCATAAGTAAGCAGGAGTACCAGTTAGCAGCATCTTCATTGCAGTATTACCTTAAGTAGGTCTCAAGACTTCTCTTCAACACCTCAGTCTATCTATCAGATTGGAGAAGGAAAAAGAGGACTGAGTTTGGAACATAGACAATATGAATTCGTCAATGGGAAGGAAAATTGATAAACTTAGAGAGGATTTTAAGAGGATGTTTCCGCTAAAAGGGTCTTTCAAAATAAGGGTTTATGATTGGCGGCATGTATTCATGGATTATACTGATGAAGAAGACTTTAAGCGATTCTATGGATAAAGAACAAGGATCCTATGTGGTATGATAATGAGGGTATACAGGTGGACTAGAAATTTCAAGGCAGATATTGAGTCTACCCTCGCCCTAGTATGGGTGACTTTGCCGGAATTACCATGGCACTATCATGATTGGGCTGCACTGGAGCGTATATTGGAACCAATTGGACCTCTAATAGCACTCGACAAAGCCACAATTGCTCGAACTAGACCCACTACTGCAATAGCTCGCTTTGAAATTGACCTTACCAGGCCTTGGCTGAAGGAGATAGAAGTAACATTGATGTACAACTTTGGTGAAGTTGATATGTTTAATCAGGTGATTGAATTTGAAACCATACTAGAATTTTGCTTTCATTATAGGATGCAGGGCCACTCTGATGGTAACTGCAGGCTACAACATATTACAGAGATCATCACAAGCCCATCAGATGTTGATAAGACCAAACTGAAAGAGAATGAAAAAAGTAAAGACGAAGAGGGATGGACAAAAGTGAGGAATGCAAAGAATAGCAAGAGGAACCTGCAAAGTGGAGCAAAACAGAAGCAACATGTGGAATGGGTAGCAGGAAAGAAATCAGTTCCTTCACCTGTTAGAACAAAAGCTGATCAAACAATTCCATTCCAACATGTAGAGAACTCTATGGAGATTAGCGAGCCACAGGAAATAGATAACTCTATAGGAATAATCGAAGGGAGAACCATAGAAGAAAGGAATATACAGGGAGCCATGAAAATCAAAGGGAAAAAGAAAAAGAAAGGAAAGAAGAGTAATAATGTAGCTATAACTAAGAAGAAGGTGAAGAAGTCAAAGAAAACAACTGTTACCGTTCCAGAATAGTGTGAGGAGCAGTTGCTACAGGTTGAAAAGGAGCTCCTCAATGTTACAGAGGAACATGATAAGAAAGTGACCTCAAGCAAGAGAAGGAGGTTTAAGTCTAAAATGCCACCTCAGGGACTAACCAAGTGGGATGTCGATAAAAGCCCAGACGCAGATATCTTCCCAGAATTTAAGTTGAAGATAGTAGAGGTGAGAGGGGCGAAGGGTGAACATGGTCTTAATACAACATTAGCAATTGAAGTGCATGAATTAAAACAACAGAAATCCCCAACCCAAGACCCCAGATTTTCCATACCTCAGTGGAGAGAAAACAATGGCAGCCACTTCACAGAAAGAGTCCATGATACACAAGACACAGACATGGAGTTAATACATAATGAAAATGAGATCACAAAATCAAATGATGAAAATGCTAGGAGACCTCATAGGGCACTAGACTTCGAGGAGGACAATGGTCTAGGAGGTGGTGTTAAGGACAAAATAACATAATTCAACAATCTCTCGCCAAGGGATCAACACAACTCCATGGGGGACAAAAAAAGACAACCAACAAAGGATACAAGATGTAACAAAAAGGAGGCGAAAGCCTCAACCCATAATAGTTCCCAATGATTAACTTTGTATCGTGGAACATAAGGGGCATGAAGTCCCAAGAAGCCTCTGAAAGGCTAAAATCTCTTCAAAATCAACATAAACTACCATTCATTTTTGGGCAAGAGCCAATAGTTAAATCCAAGATTGTGAGATACTAATTATAACTTAGTCTGCGCAATAGTTTCTTTAATTGTAATAATAAGATATGGATCTTTTGGTCCTCTGACTTAACTATAAAGGTCTTGAAGGACTCCGAACAACAAATTACATACCAAGTTTTGATGTCAGGCAGCCCCGTCCCTCTACACACAATGATTGTTTATGTCTACTCAACTAAGAAGACAATTATGGGATGAGTTGAGAGCGTGGGATAACAAAATTAGGGTCCATGGGCAGTAGTAGGAGACTTTAATGTCATACTTCAAGCTGAGGAGAAATCAGGTAGAAGATCGTATAGGATAGAGGAAAGCATTGACTTCCAGAGTTGCATTGATGACTGTAATATCTTATTATTACAGTTAACAGATGCGGGATTCTATGGCAATAAGTTCACTTGGAGTTATAATAGAGGTTTTCCTAGGACTATCTGAAAGAGACTCGATAGAGTATTGATAAATTCAAAATGGACAAACATATGGGGGGGGGGGATAGTGACACATTTAGCTAGAGTCGGCTCAGACCATGCTCCTTTGTTGATTACCATGAATACCACAGAAAATAATGGTCCAAAGTACTTCAATTCCTGGATTTTTGGGCAGAGCATAAAGACTTTGTTTCTGTGGTTCAAGAAATATGGAATGAAAAATCCTACGTGGGTACTACATCAGAAACTAGAAAGACTATGCAAAAGACTTAGTATATAGTCAAGGCAAGCATTTGGAGATATATATAAAGAGCTAAAATGATTGGATAAGGAAATATCAAAACTGGAAAAAATAATTATAGAACATAATTCACCACTTAGAAGATCTAAGTTTAACAAAGTTAAAGTAGATTACCTACAGGTTATGAAGGCACAAGCTGCAGCCTTGAGATAAAATGCAAAGGCTGATTGGCTAAAAAATAGGAATAAGAACACTGCCTACTTTTATAGTATCATAAAGGGGAGAAGGAAGAGGCTAAATATTCAGAGGATATAAGATGAAAAGAGTATATGGAGGAAATGAAATGAGGACATAGCAACGATAACAATTCAATATTTTCAGAAAATTTTTGATCACAGAGATGCCATAGATGACATGGCAACTCTGAATTGCCTAAGTCCTACAGTGATAGAAGAAGATAATGTAATGCTACAGCCATACCTACAATGGAGGAGGTAAAACATCATTTTCTCTATAAATCCAAAAAGTGCACCAGGACCATATGGACTAAATGCAATCTTTTACGAGGTATGTTAGGTAGTAATCTCAGATGATGTGTATAATGCAATAATGACTTATTTTAGGGGGGAGGGGGTGCAAACTTCCCCAAATTCTTTACCCACACCTACATTATCATGCTAGCAAAGGTAGATTTCCCACATAACCTAACTGATCTCAGGCCAATCAGTCTATATAATATTTCACGTGAATCATATCAAAAGTGTTGAATGCTAGAGTAACCCAATTGCGACCAAGGATCATATCCCCCAACCACTCAGGGTTCATTAAAGGTAGACTAATCTCTGAAAATATACTAATGGAACTAGAGATTATTAGAGACTTTAGAAAACCAAATAAAGAGAGGAATATGGTGATGAAACTGGATATGGCAAAAGCATATGATCGGGTTGCTTGGCCATTCCTATTTTGTAAGATGAGAAAGCTCGGGTTTTCTGAAGAATGGATAGAGCTAATTTACATGCATATATCTGGAAATTGGTACTCCTTAATAGTAAATGATCAGAGATATGGTTTCTTTAAGTCTAAGAATAGGTTGAGACAA